GATCCATGAAAGTATGTGATGATTGGTGCAAAACTGTCCATCGTCAGACTAGCAGCTCCAGGATTCTGACCAGTACAGCATTGAGCCTGTGCCTCTAAACATCCTTTGTGGGACAAACCTGGGATGAACCTGACTTTGAATCAAACTTTTCATTATTTTGAATCCAATCATCACTTGAAACTATTAAAATGAATACATAATTTCAAAAAGAAACTTTTCACCCAAGCTGGGAAGAGAGACACTTCTCTATACAAAGAGTTGTGGGAGTATGGTAGAATGCTGTCCAGTTGTGTTGTCATATTGCCTTTTTTTATTTCAACAAACAGCCAGAAAGAGATCCACCTACCTTGTGACTACCTAATGCGTTACACTGGCTGAGTAGCCTCCTCTCATTTGTAACGTTTCTCATATCCCTCAATGGCTGAATGGTGCAATTGACTTAAATAGCCTGGTTTCCGCCTGCTTCCATTGCTTTAACCACTGAGGAGTTTCTCTTCCTGGAGAGCTGTGCTGCGTTCCTCCCTTCGCCACAGCTGGTGTCACGAGTGGGCTGATGCTGCTATAATCTTGTCACGGTCTCCTGGCAGGTCCCCCTGGGAGTCCCTCCCAGCTGCACATGTCCGCGCCCCTGTGCTCAGCACTTTGCGACCTCACGGTCAGAGGGATGCCAGTCTATCGCAGGGCCGCAGCTGAAGAGTCCATCAGGGCGTTAACCTGGGCGTCCTCCGCCATAAGGGTGAACCACGAACCAGGGGGCATAAGTGGAGACTACAGGGAAAGCCTTTCGAAGCTTAACACAAAGGGGTGTGGGAGTGTGGAACAAGTTAACCTGCCACATTGTTAAAGCTGATACCCTTGTTTCTCTCACAAATCAACTCCTGGGATTACGTACCTATTAACTATCAAACAGACTACATGGAAGCTCCAAATGTCCTCATCTCATTTCTAATGGTTTTATGTGTTTTATATTGGAAGAACATACAAACTCCACCAAATGCCCCAAACCACCATTAAACCCAGGATTCTGGAGCAGTGAATAAAACTTCATCTAAAACGAGACTTTAATTAAATCATTTTTTGCATCATTTTATTGATCAGCCCAGTACAAGCTTCACTTGACTGTCTCTGGGGAGGAAGCGGCCAGGCGCAGAAGGCGGCACGTTTCTGTCTGTAGTATCTTTATTTCAGGCGCGCACATAAACACGGGGCTTAAGGTCAGGCATAGTGAGGTGAGGCTGTTACTGCAAGATGTGTCATAGAAATGCATTGCGTTTCTATTATCTATTATTTCCGAGGGCACAGCAGGTGTCCAGATACAGAGTACAGGAAGGCCTTGCATCTGTCTCAAGAAGTCATTTTAGTTTGCGTGAAAACAGATTTGACATTCCTAAAAGAAATGAAATCTCCACTTTTTACAGAATGCCATCCCCTGCTTAATCCCACAATTTTAACGTAAATGCAGTCTTACAGAGCACGAGCCGTATATAAAAGTGGTTTTATAGGGATTGAAGCGTGCTGACATTATATGGATGTTTTAGATGATGGCACATCAGCAGATGGCATCTTATCTAACCCAGGACAGAAGGAAAAATTAAAGTCTCCTGCAAGGATAATATTATTACAATCCATAGTAGTGAGTTGTCCAAACACATCAATAAAGAATTGTTCATCTTGCATACTGTACATCCTATCACCACTTCTTCCCCATATAGTAATCCCTTAACTATTCCAACACTACCTTCTTTATCCACATAAGTTGAGTTGACTGTAAATGGGAGATTCTTATGAATGAGAATAACCACACCTCGTTTTTTGGTGGAGAATGATGAGTAATAAACTTGCCCTACCCATTCCCTTTTAGGTTTTTTATTGTTCCAGATCATTCAAGTGCGTTTCCTGTAAAAATGCTATGTGAATCTTATCTCGTTTCAGGACGTTCAGAATCTTTTTCCTTGTAACTACGCTATTCACCCCTTTTACATTCTAAGTGCGTATCTTAACACTATTCGTGGTGTTTTTTTAGTTGTAATACGGTAACGCGGTGGCTGAATCGCAGTATAATGCAACATAACAGTAAATAGCAAATAGAGCAGCTGCACTTAACTGTTCCATACATTTCGAAGAAAAAAAAACGTCTTGGGGAAAAATCAGTTTGTGACCACACACAGTACATGAGGTACAGTAACAGCACTTGTCAGGTATTTAAGAAAGAAAAAAAGGAACTTTGTTAACATCGAGTAACGGTGATAAAGACAAAAAAAAACAGTCTTAGAACAAGATTGCTAGACTCAGTCTGCAAACTAAACTAAGAAAAGGTCCAACAAAATTGTTTAGCTTCTCTGCGTAGTTAACAGAGCAGTGTAACTAAAGGTTGCCGCTGGTCACGAAGCTGCGGCAGTCAGCAATGAGGTACGCTCAGATATAGGGGGCTCAACTATTACACTAAAAACAAAAACTGTCTACTCCTCGCCAACATAATTCGTTACAGTCTTAAATTTCTATACAAAACAGTATCATCCTTGTTTCAACATGAACATTAATATATAAAAAAAAACAGAATCTTAAAAATAGAGAACATTTAAAACGTCAGAGAAGGTTCCACCTGCAGGCATAACCGCTCAGTTCTCTGCTCGGTCAGATCTACAAACTAAAGCCACTATAGCCTGCTCGTTCATCAGCGGACCTCTCACGTCCTATTCAGACGTGGGGGATTGCTGCTGAATATGTTTAAGGAAGTTCTCTGCTTCTTCTAAGCGTTAATGATCGCGGGATACGGGAACGACTACCTCAGTCCAGCATCACGCAGCCTCCTTCTCGCGTCGGCGGCTTCCGCCATCTTTTCCTGCACCTCGACCGAGAAGTCTCGGAGGATGGAGACTCTTTTCCCCTCCGCCATGACTTCTTTCTTGGCCCTGGCCGCTTCCATTACCTTCATTACCTGTCCCGGTAGTTGTGCAGCCTCACCAGCACGACGGCCCTGGGTACAGGTGTTCCGCCCCCCGACTTGATTTCGTCCCCCTTCATTTTCATGCCAAGGGTTTCAGGGATTATATGGATGTTTTTTAAAAAAAAAATTAAAAAGCAGATGAGACTGCGGAAAACTCCGAAATGTAGTTTTAAATCAAAGTTTCCGTGTTTTGATAACTTGAACTTTGCAGCAGTGTCAAATCGCTGTTTTGTAATTAACCCTACAAACCCCTTGACAGCAAACACTCCACAGACACAATGTTCAGGTACACAGATTTCGAAGTTCGGTCGTAAAGTTGGGCGGTGCAGTTAGGAGAGTAATAAAAAAGCAAAGTACTGTACTGTGCACTTCTCCCGTCTCTGCAGGGAAGCTCTCCAGCGCCCTCTTGAGGAAAAGTTTCCAAATTCAAAGTGGATAAAATACGTACAATTCCAATACAGAACGGAATTTTAGAAATTAACTTTCAGCATTGTATCGCATGTATGCATTTTAAAAATAAACGTATTTATAAATGTCACTGACGTTGTTTAAACATATCGTCTAAAAAAGCTCTCAATAGCTTAAAAAAATACCCCAAGGACATACAGATCGGTAGTAAAAACGTGGTCGTGATCAATTCTCCCGTACTTGAAAATCCTTCAGAAAAATACACATAGCTGGCAAAAGCAGGACAAAAACGTACCGCGATGCACCCGCTACGTTTGAAAAAGCTTTAGATCCCTCGCTGGTCTAGAAAGCGGTGGCTCTTTTACACAGCTATTCAGTGGCGGAACAACAGCGGGCTCGGTGCGGGAACAGGTTGAGCGATAGCGGCTCTGTCACGTGTCGACGTGTACTCTGGCTCGAGCGTGTGCAGGGGGTCGCGTTCTGCAGTCTGTCGCCGCTGTGCAGAAACTACAGGCTTGAAAGGCAACATAACCGCCGTTTGACCTCGACAGGAGCAAGCAGCTGCTGCCGCTTTCTGCAATCGTACCTGACGTCTGCAGGCTTGGCGATGGCTCTCTGCTAGTGGACGTGGCGCACGGAGTATTATCATATAGGAAGCCGCGAGTGAAAGCTTGCCATCGTAATGGCTTGCTACTTCCAGGGTGTAGATTCCCATATCGTCATTGTTGGATGCGGTATCTCGGGGATAGGAGCTGCCCAGAAGCTGATCAAGCATGGTTTTAAAAACGTCCGCATACTCGAAGCCACTCAGAGGAGCGGCGGGAGGATAAAAACGACGAGGTTAGGTGAGTGTGCAGGGTGACGTCTCCTCGCATCCCGGAGAGGAGAACAAATAATAACTTCGTCCCGGTCCAACATTACAATGTAAGCTGCTGACGAGAGTAAGTTTTTTTTTGTATGGCTACGGTAAAACATATTATTGAGGGGCGCCCGTTACGGAAGATCCACCGCTGAGCTAGAAAGACGGTAGTAAACAAGCTGTTAGCCCTGAGTCTGCAGTACGTGCGGGTGCTGGTGGTGTGACGTGTTTCTAAATTGTCCGCTGGTGCAGCTCCAGCCCTTTTCGCTCACCAGTCTCTCTGTATAACCCGAACACGTTTTATCGTTGTGTTTTTGCAGGGGACATTCTATGTTACAGACAGGCAGTCCGTCCAATCTCGGCCCCTTCCCCCCGCGGGAAGTGTTCCTGTGCTCAGCACGGCCTAGGAAATGAGGGGCCCGAGAAGCATGATGTACGCCTCCAGTGCGGCTAAAATGACCAAAGGGCGCTAGACTCGTTATATATTAATCTCCGTTTGCTCGCTTGTCTGATCTGCATAATGTACTGTCGCTTAATTATAAACGACGTGCAGAGTTTAAGTTACATAACTCTCAACTGTACTGTGTATAATCGCCCTTATCTACCAGTTTAAGCCAAAGCAAGAGATCAGAGTTCTTTTCCTATACCTTTTTATTACACCTTACCTGAAGCAGGTCCCTTCCGTGATGACCATAAACGCGTGTCACGATAATACGACGCCATGGGCTTGAGGAGGGTGCTCCAGGTGTTTGCGCCACCTGACAATACATTTCAACATGCATGAACAGACTAGGCAGGATATTATGTTAAGTGTTAAAACCAAAAACAGGAGGCTCTTATGCTTGTGTAATAACATCACTTTATTAACCCTATACAATTTCATGCACTAGGAATTTGTCTTTTCACGTACCCCAGCTCCATGAGACACAGACAGGGAGAGAAGCTTGGGGTCAGAAGGCAGGGTCAGCCATTGGAGAGCACCCCTGGAGCAGTTGGGGTTAAGGGCCTTGCTCAGGGGCCCCAATGGAGTAGGATTCCTCTGCCGGCTGTGGGATCTGAACCAGCAGCCTTCCAGCCACAGCCAAGATCCTTAGCCACAGAGCCACCACTCCGCCGTAATGCTTTGTGACCTATTTAGATGCACTGTGCATCCATTCCCCTAGGGAACAATAAAAGCTTATCTTACTCCTTTACACAAAGGTGTGTTGGGAGTGTGGAATAAGCTGCCCAGAAGCCTCACCCTTTACCAATACCCTGGCTTCTCACAAGACAGTAATTTACCAAGTTGAGGATTTCATCCCGCTGATTACCAAAGAGGCTTGGATAGCTGAAGGGCCTCCTCTTGTTTCATCCCGTTCTGATTTTCTTCCTACCGGTTTCTCATCCTGCACTTTGTGTGATACACAGTTAAAGACTGACATGATCCTGATACCCGTTTTGAACTGACTTGCATTGGGATTTATTGGCTCACCTCTGGACAAGGCGTCATTCGCTACCTGTGTGTTTTGAAGGAAATAAAATCGTGGAGATTGGCGCTAACTGGATCCACGGCCCATCCAAGGAGAATCCCGTGTTCCGCCTGGCCTGCCGGTACAGGCTGCTGGACGAAGAGGCTCTGAGCGAGCAGAACCAGGCACTAGATGTGGGGGGTCACCCGCCGTTCAAACCCAACTGGTTCTGCAGCTCGGGCGGGAAACTGGGGCCCGACGTGACGGAGCCGGTCGCCGCGCTCTTCGCGAGCCTCCTTCAGCAGAGCCAGCAGTTCCACGCAGAGCAGAGGGAGCCCGTGCCCAGCGTGGGCGAGTTCCTGAAGGGGGAGCTGGCGCGCCACGCGGCCCAGTGGGGGGACGGCCCGGCCGCCAGGCGCCTCAAGCTGGCCGTGGCGAGCGTGCTGCTGAAGCTGGAGTGCTCCATCAGCGGGGCCCACAGCATGGACTGCGTGGGCCTGGGCGCCTACGGGCTGTACGAGACCCTGCCAGGTCTGGACTGCACTTTCCCCAGGTGAGCCGCCCGGCGACGCCTTCCCGCTCTGCGGGCCTTGACAGCGCCGAGCGCTGACCTGCCTCGGTGGCTGGAAGGTCGCGGCATTCCCATCGAGCGCGGGGAACTCCCAAGTGGAATGTGGCTGGAAACGTCCGGGAAGTCATTTTGAAACGTCCAAGCGTTTTTTGTTCCAATCAGACTACTGAGTCCTGGTTAACAGCACGTCACACCTCAGGTTGCGTAGCTTCGATGGCGTTTCACACTACTTCGCCACCCTCGCGCCTGGTGAAACCATACCTGGTTCTGTTCCTTAGTGAATACGGTTTATTACACCTAAGCTTTTGCTTTTTTCAATGGAACTGTTTTTGACATTAAAGATGAATTTAAGAAGATAAAAACGTAATCTAACTCTGCAGCTGCTTCTTCTGTTGTTGTTTTTTTTAATTCGGCCTTTTCTTTCAGAGGTTACGAAGGCTTAATAGATGCCATGATGAAAGAACTACCACGTGGAATTGTGTCGTACAGCAGACCGGTCAGATGTATCCACTGGGATGGCGCTTTTAGAAGGGCGGGGAAGACGTTCCCTGTTCTAATCGAATGTGAAAACGGAGAAACCTTCCCAGCAAACCACGTTATCGTCACTGTTCCATTAGGTAAGGCTTTGAAACAATAAGGTTGCAGTTTCTCAGAAAACTGGGAGGCTCAGTCCCTTCTCGAGCCCGTTTTGAGCCGTGACTCTGATACTCCACGGATCGTGGTACCAGGAACTTGAAACGAGACAGTCTGGGGAGTGTGGATCCCTGCTCTCCTCGTCATCACTGCAAGACAGCTGCCAAGGCAGGTGATAGAGGACATGTAGGCTGCATGATTCATGACAAGTTGTGTATTATGCTCCAAACACGGGGCGTTTGGACTTAAATCACTTCTGTCGAGTGTCGCAGCCAAGATGAGTGTCATCGAGAGGAGGCCAGTCCAAGACAGCTGTGTAAGTTACAGTATATGTTCTTGCTTTCTCCTGTGTCTGGTATGCTTCACTAGTGCCTTCGAATGAGTGGCTGGGAAGAGGACTGTGGAGAAGACGACACTAGTCAGTTGGCTCTGTCATCAATGACAGTCCAGTTTTTCACTCCATAGACATGGGGTAGGGACGCCTGGGTTTTGCACTATTGCTGTAGAATGCTGATATTGAAGAAATGGACGGGACTGGCCATTATTACTGCCGTACACTGCCCTCAGTTTGTAAAATTGTATTTTGTTCCTTTTTTAAGGCTACCTCAAAAAACACCAAGACACGCTCCTGAGTCCAGCGCTGCCCCTCGGTAAGGCACACGCCATTCAGAGAATGGGCTTCGGGACCAACAACAAGATCTTCCTGGAGTTTGACGAGCCCTTTTGGGACCCAGACTGCGAGGTCATCTACTTTGTGTGGGACGACGAGTCCCCTGTCACTGACGTGGTGCCAGATGTGCAGAAGTACTGGATGAAGAAACTGTTCGGCTTCACTGTTCTCCGACCCACTGAAAAGTGAGTCTGGGAGCTCTTTAAAGCTTCTTTAGTTTCTTTAGGAATCTGCCAGATGCACTGTTGCTTGTGGTGATTGTAACCTGGAAAACTGTCGGTAATGGGCGACACGCTAATTTATCTTTGATTTAATGTTCATGTAAAATTAAAATCTTAGTGGATATCAAAATGCATCAGTGTGATGATTAGAGCAGAAGCCATTGGTGACACTTGAGAGGAATTGCTGTTAAAATGTATTTTTCCTAAAAGATTACGGAATTCTTTCAATTCCTTTTTTCCATCCGGTTAGGTATGGGCATCTGTTGTGCGGCTGGATTGCTGGGGAAGAATCGGAGTACATGGAGACGCTCTCTGAGGAAGAAGTGAAGCAGTCTATTACACAGGTCATTCGCAGGTTTACAGGTGCGTACAGCTGACAGAGTCAGTAGTGATTTACAGGTGCATACAGGTTACAGTCAGAGATGCTCTGAGCTGGCAGCAACTTGTGTGACACTGAGTGGTTTTTGCCTTATGGCATAGAGTGTGACATCTCCTATGTCACAAGTCTGGGAAAATGGTGTACAGTATGTTCTTTAGAAGCTTGAAATTAGGATCCATGTGCACATCTTCTTTGTTGTCTTCAGGAAACCCAGTGATCACCCCAAAGAGGATTTTGCGATCCCAGTGGCACCTGGACCCCTACACGTGTGGGTCATACTCCTATGTGGCGGTGGGGTGCTCAGCTTCTGACATTGACAGCATCGCCGAGCCACTTCCTTTGAAGCAGTCGCAGTCAGAGGTACTGTCATATGACCCATCTAAAAGTAAAGGTGGAAGAACAGAGCAACGTGCATGGGTTTGGCAGTCAGAGCTGCAGAGGAAGTCTGTTCAGAGTTTGTGTTGGTAGACCAGGTGGTAGTGCTCTTCCCTTTAACTGGAATGTCCAAACTGTAGCCCCAGTGTAAGATAGCCTAGACTTACAAGTATGCTTTTCTGTGCTACAGGAAGTGTTACCCTTCAGATAAGTCATTAAACATGGTCATTATAGACCATGGCACTGTTCCTAAGTGTAGGGTTGATACCCTTGATGTTTCTTGCTGACTTTCTCTGTGAGTTTGAACAAGCTGTCCTCTCTAAAGTTTCCCCTTGATCCACTTGGTGAAGCAGTTTCTCACTGCTCTTCTGACCTGGGCAGTGCAGCTGCTGGTTCAGAATGGTTGCTGTATCACCCAGTTGGTTCTTCAGTGTGAGATGACGTGTGTCCCCTTCTATATGTCATGTATTTCTGGATCCTTTGAGTTGAAAAGCAGCATAACAATTCATTTCAAAGTCATTTTCAATATAAGGTATAGGAAATTAAAGTACCTTACTTATTCGTGTTTGTGTGTGTATGCTTGTAGTTATTTAATATTTAGTTGTTCTTTGACATTTCAGCTGAATCACCCTTGTATATGTTTCTAAATGCCTAGAGGTCCTGTGTGAGTGTTCCTGGATTTACAGTGTGCTGAGTAATCTGTTACAGAAATGAACTCTGTGTGGGTTTCACTCACATCAAGAGAATCGCTACACCTATACCCTGTATTGTTTTCATGCTTTTTTTAAATGACTGCTGTCACACAGCCACATGCTAGTGCTGTACTGTACTGTATGTGTCAATGATGGAACTCAGCCTGCCCCAGTGTTTTTACCCTCAGGTGGGCGCTGCATCAGTGACTTCAGAATAGTGTGCTTGTTATTTCAGCCACTGCAGGTGCTTTTTGCTGGCGAAGCCACAAGCAAGTCGTTCTTCTCCACAACCCACGGGGCCCTGCTGGCAGGGTGGAGAGAGGCAGACAGGCTCATCGCTCACCACACCACCTCGCCTCCATCTGCGCCACTCAACTCCAGGCTGTGAAGAACTAAGAGTCTCTGAGAACGTCTTTCACTCCCGCTGAGAATGCACGATAGACTGGAAAGAGTGGGGACATCTAGTGCCTTATATTCTGAGATTTTAAGTGCACATTTTGAAAAACAATTGCATATGCACAGTTCCAAAAGGATGATAAAAATGTTAAAATGTATTCAGTTAATTAAAAGTATTTTAGATACTTGACTTGGTAGTGCTTTGTGTTGAAAATTTTTAAAATGAATGGTGTTCTCCTAATATCACCACATGAAATCCTCAGCATCACACAAAACGGTAAGAAAATATGAACTTCATCTGATCATGATATGTATATATACTATAAACGTGCTTCTTTCTTCTGGTGCACTGATTGCATATGGTCATCAATCAAAAAAGGAATACATTTTAAACTGATTCTGTTTGTCAACCCATCTGTATTTAAACTCAAAATAAAAAAGCACTTCCTCATTGGCAGCTGTACAGGTTGGAATTTATAATACTTGGCATTTATTCATATGTGTGTCACTCTTTTTATTTTCTATCTAGATGCACTGTCAAGACAATGATATCTGAAGGGAAAGGGGGGTATTAAAAATAATAATAATTGCTTACACTTATATAGCGCTTTTCTGGACACTCCACTCAAAGAGCTTTGCAGGTAATGGGAATCTCCTCCACCACCACCAGTGTGCAGCCCAACCTGGATGATGGGATGGCAGCCATAGTGCGCCAGAACGCTCACCACACATCAGCTAGCAGTTGGGAGGAGAACAGAGCCAATTCATAGATGGGGATTATTAGGAGGCCATGATTGGTAAGGGCCAATGGGAAATCTGGCCAGGACACTGGGGTTACACCCCTACTCTTTTTGAGAAAGGCCCAATGTATTGGTTGTAGCGACATTTATAAAACTGACCTTTATGTTCTTTTCCTGTAATTCTTCCAAAAAACGTATTTGTCCAAAGCTTTTTAACTTGATATGAACACTTAACACTTAACACTCCTACTACTTCTTGCCAAAATTCAAAGAACAATAATCAGAATGTTTCTGAAATAGTGAAACAAATGCTGAAGGACGTTATTGACCACACTGTTTCATATTCCAGGTGTTAGATAGGGTAGACGTGAGTGTAAATGAATAAGAAAACGGGTTTTCAAATCCATAACAGCATTTAGAAGCATTTGCAAGTTCCAAACTGACTTTTAGTATCTTCCACAATACTACTCATACTTTGTTCTAATAATTTCAAACAAAAATGCTAATTGAGCGATTGAACCAATCAGTTAATTGTTATTAAAACACAATTATGATTATGTTTACAATTTTTTAAAAAAGCTACAATTACTGCAGCTAATACAGTACTGTAGATCCATCTGCCGCAATGGAGATGTTTTATGAGCGGAACACTTTCCCTCGACTTTAGGACGCCACCCGGAGCTTAAGCGATGTAACACTTGTTTAGCTTAGCATGGCCGAAGGTGTTGGGTAGGACGTAAAGTACATATGAAAAAAAGAGGTTTAAAAATGAGACTGCAACGAGTATTGTGTTCAGCTGCAAAATTCAGGGATGTTTTTGACTTTGGTAAAAGAGACGTTGCACACTGGTTTCCTGGGCACATGGCAAAAGGTGGGCATCATTTGTTACCGAAGGACGAGAGGGATACAGTAAATGCGCTCGGTCACCTGGAGCGTAGAAATCCTTCCCTTCGTTATTTATTTGCATAGCTTTATCTTCCGGGCGGTGGAGTGCTTACCTGTTACTGTTCTGTGTGCCCAGCTCGCTTTCTAGTCAATGTCGGCTCTGAAAATATATATTTTTTTAATTTAACGCTAAAACAACTGCTGTACTTTTTCATTAAAAATATCGCATCGCACCTCCCCTAGAACTGTCCGTAAATTTACTCATTGTTAAACCTCACTTTCTGTATGCATGTATATGTAATTGGTCTTTCTCTGTAGGGCTCAAACAAATGAGGGCAAGCCTGAAGAAAGTGGACTGTATCATAGAAATCCATGATGCCAGAATATCCTTTGTTGTTGGGTTTAAAACCTTGTTTGGTTTAGTTTTGAATTCCCTAAGAATTGGTGTTCAACCTTGAGATGAAGGCTCAGCCCCCCTGTCACCCTGTATGGATGAATGCTGATTTCTCTTACTTACCGGATGTTGTGAATCCTGCCTTTGTTCTTCATGCTCAGCGGCGTATCTTCTTTAACTAGATCACATACCGCTTTCTGGACGGAACCCTCTCTTTCAGGAAAGCTTGCACATCAGACCACATTTACTTGTGCTGAATAAGATGGACTTGGCCGATCTGTCTAACAAACAGGTGCAGTATGGGTTCGACTTGTGCTTAAAGAGTAAAAATTTAAGTGAAAGTGCAATTCTGTTCTCCTTTTATAACATAAAGGGTAAATTTTGAAGAGGTTGCTGACCATAATTAGTAGTGTTTTATGTTGCTTTCAAACAGCTACACAGGTCCATGACTCTTTTAAAGGTAATTAAGCTATCTACATGTTGGTATAACCTGTACAGGTGAAATATCACCATGGTCCATATCAACATGGATTTATAGAAGGTCTTAGTTAACCAACTTGTTAGAGTGAACAATAAACAACAGTAATGGACACGCACGCAGTGTATGTTACAGTGTATTTAGTGTTTCAGAAGGCTTTTGATAAAATTCCTCATAAAAGATTAAAACATTAATCAAGCTCAAGTTCACGTTTATTTGTCATTCCAGCCATATACAAGTACACAGTGGAACGAAATATCGTTCCTCCTGGTCCACGGTGCAAATACAGACAGGACACTGACATAGACATTGTAGACAGGATACACATAGTGCAAAGTGCAGACAGTGCAAATTACAAGGCAAATACATAGTACAATATACACAACACACTGGGGGGATTTGAACCCTGTTTCTGGAATTGGAGTGGGTGCAGGTAGATTCCAGGGTGTTGAAGAGCCTGACAGCCTGTGGGAAGAAGCTGTTACAGAGTCTGTAACATAATTCATTCTCAAATTATAGGCATTGAGGGAAACATGAGCAGGGCTGGAGAAATTGTTAATAAAAGAGAGCACAGATAAGCGGTGAAATTGGACAGATATTTGGTGTTTCTATAATTAGTGGAGTATCACAGGTATCTGTCTTAGCATTACTCCTTTTCCTAATTTATGTTAATGAACAAGATTGAATGAACCTCCCGTGTCTCAAAACAGTTTGTTTGCATGATGTGTGTCCTTGTTCTCTAACGACATGTGTCCTTGTTCTCTTAGCGGATTCTGGGGCAGCTGGAGAAGAAAGAAGTGAGGCACGTTGTGTTCACAGACTGCTTGCTGCAGAGGGGTGAGCAAGTCAAGAAGGTGAGACGCCCAGCAGGGCGAGCGCACAAGCAAACAGCCTCGAATATGTTTCTCGTATGGAATTAATCAGGAGTCCTGCAGAGCTGAACTACATACAAACGTGATCCGGCATTCCTGTGAGTGCAACCTGGCTGCCCTGAACTATTATTGCACAGTAACTCTCACGTAAAATGTGTGTTTTGCGGATCCTTGTGAATTGTTTTTTTGTCCGTATAATGCCTCATGTTAAGGGTCTGTCCAGAAATGTTTTTTTTTTAATGTTAAAAATAAGTTGCCGTGGCTCTGTGAAAGCTTTCCCTCCGAGCCCGTTTGTGAGATTTGGCAGCCTGGTTTCAGGAAAGCTGGGCGCATCGTGCGAGATTGACGTGGGTTAATCCAGCTGTTGTTCTTCCTGCCCCTCCAGGTCGTTCCCCTGGTAACGGAGCTCATCGAGAACAGCCCTCGCTTCCACAGGGCAGAGGTGAGGGACTCATCAGCTGAGGTCTAGGTTCTGGAGATCTGTTCTATTTGGTAATAACATGGCCTCTGCCCCTTTCGAGTGGAATTATTACCGTTTTTATATTATTATAACAAACTAGTGCTGGACACTTTTATATTCTTAAGTCTTAAGAATGAAGCAGCTTAGAGAAATGGAGAAAAATGCCACGTTATTGTTTTTATTGCTCCTTCCTGTGGTAGAAATCTGTTTATCTGTTGTTATTATTCTTTATTTTCCACCCATGAGTCCCCTGAGAAATGGCTGAAGTCTGGAAGGTAGAGACCTGTCAGTTTTTGGTATTATGTTAAATTTTGTCATGATTTAGTAGCAACAGGCTAGTGACACTTCTTGTATAGTCTGGACTCTGAAATTGGCGAGAGGAAGAGCCTGAACAATATTGTTGCATTTCTAGGACATGGACTATTGCGTGATGGTGATTGGAGTGCCCAATGTTGGGAAGTCTTCTCTGATAAATGCCATACGAAGAATACATTTGAAAAAAGGTAATGCACATGTAACAGGTTTCTTCACAGTAAAAGAAAGATAGTCTTATAAGTAATATACTTAGTCCATTTAGTAGATTGACTGTATTTATCTTTTGATTTTCATTGCATCATGCATCTCAACAAAGATGACAACCTAAAGAATTTCTTATTTACTTAAAAGTGTGCTGAGTGCTTCCTTATGTAGTCTAATATTTGGTATCCCTCTACTGTGTTAAGTGTGTAGTTGTGTTCTGTGCCTTGCAGATGATGCGTGTTCTTTGTGCTTTCAGGCAAAGCGTCTAGAGTTGGCGGGGAGCCAGGGATAACCAGAGCAGTTTTGACAAAAATCCAGGTAAGCTGTACTGTGTGTGAGAACCACTACAAATGCCCTCCTACCCTTGTCGAGGACTTGAGCGCTGTACAGGGTAAAGGAAGGGGCGTTTGTAATTGTTTAATGTTTATGTATTTTGCTTTTAACGAGTCCTGATAACCTGGTCCAGAAGTGAATGAATCTTGTGTGCGCAGGTCTGTGAAAGGCCTGCTGTGTATTTGCTAGATACCCCTGGAGTCCTGCCTCCCAGAATAGAAAATATAGAAACGGGAATGAAGCTGGCGCTGTGTGGTAAGGACTACTGTACTTCTCTGTCAGGTTCAGTCATACTGTTAGATGTTGAAATGCTATGCCACAATTTTGAGTAGGGAATTCAGATGGGATTTTTGTTATATAATTGTGTCTTGGTACCTTATGTAATTTTCTCATTTCATCCTTTATTAAACCAGATGTGTTACTTGAGAACAAAGTCTCTTTTACATCAAACCGGTGAACCATAATTCAGTTTGGATTTACCAGACATCCAAGTTTCAGTACAAGCTGCACTGGTATACAGCTCCAGTCCTGGAGGACCTGATTCTTCCAGGTTTTCCAGGTATTTTAAGATAACTGGAGATCTTTGAAAAATGTGTTCATTCTTTTCAAATGTTAAAGATAATTTATAACAGGGCAAGAAGGAAGCAGAGCACAAAGAATTAGCAAGAATCAAGTCTTGCATTTGAGTAACAATTCAGTTTAAGGCTACTTTGTGCTAACATATAGCGCATATATTTTCAACACAGTGGGGGTTAGAGATCAAAGTGCGAACCTGGTGCAGTTATGATTATGTATCACCTCAGTAAGGCCAATAAGAGGAGGTGGAGAGAAAACCTGCAGGGCTCCAGGACGGGAGTTGTGCTTCACTGGACTGAATTGCCTATCTGGGACTGTTGTCCTAATTAAAGTAAAGCAAAAACATTTGGAAAGTATGTGTTACAGTTCATGTGCCACTGTAATAATATCACAGTTCCTTTGATCTGTACTTTTTATTGGAATGTTTCCCATCATCTAGTCTTGTTTTACTCTAGTTTTGACAAATCAAAGCACTTCTGTAGATTTGAGCTCTTGAATGATGGTCTGTTCAGTGTTAAATTAGACTGTTAAATCTGTGTTAAATGTATGTTTATTTTATAGGAACTATATTGGACCACTTAGTGGGTGAAGATATCATTGCTGATTACTTACTGTACACTTTGAACAGGATGGAGAAATTTGGGTAAACCTCCATCTCTTTTTCTTGGTATTTTTTTAATACTTTTAATGGTATTATTTATCAAACTCAGGGTCAGTTGTATTAAGCTGGCGTCACACTACAGGACTCGACACAACTTCTAGTCAGAGAGCATGTCAAATTTCACAACTGCAGTTGCTGAATCTCGCTGCCTTTTCTGTCAAGTTAAATGACTAGGAATCGCAGGGAGTGACTAATTACACGATTTCCTCACGACTTTTCATCGTGGTTCCAAATCTCGTATTGGGCCGCGAAAGTACCGCGAGGTCGCCTCATTTTGGCCGCCAGTCAACGTGGAGCACAAGAGAAGCACCGCATGAAAGTAAACAAACAACATGGACAATAAGCACAGAAACATCTTGAAAAATGTAACACAGGCATTGTTTTCCACAAATAAACATCTTCAAAAATATCATTCTTCTTGAGAAATATAGCTCCAATTTTCAAAAATAAAACACAGTTAAAAATATAAAACAGCTCTAAAACAAATATTGTAAACAAATTAGTATTGCGCTATAACATAATGGGCACATTATCTCACAAGTACACATCTGGCTCACTGCCCACCCCTACGATTTGCGACTTGTTACGCGAAAATCAAACCAGTTTGATTTTATCCTAGCGAGTCGCAGAGAGTCATAGGGGCTGTTAGGAGCACCATAACTGAGTTGCTGGGGGTGTCACACTACGCAACTGATGGTAACGGGGGTGCTCTGCGACTCCCTACAACTCGCTGTGATTTTCTTACGATTATGTAAATGAAGGCAATGATGGAAAATCCAAGGAAAAGCCGTGCATTAGTAAATGTCACCCATAGTTAAAATGCCGTGACTACGCTCAGACCTATGGGTAGTGGTTATCTTGAGGGTTAGGACTAGCTTCCTTCATGACACAGTGAAAGCATTAAGCATGGGGCATTAAGCATCCTTAAAAGGTATAGTTCTTTACATTATTGATAGGGAGCTACATTGTTAAAGACTTAACTTTACCATGATTAAAGTAATTTCTTGTTATTTTAAGATGTACCTGTGATTGTTGCCTGCTTAGTACCGTTGTTTACTATGCTTTAGAACAAGTGTGCAATGAACTGCGATGTTGGTGGCTTATCTGTCACTCTTCTGGCCTGTGTTGGCAGTTGTGATTTGCAGTCAGTTCTTTTGCTTGGCATGGCATTTCGAACTGAGCCGCAGGCCCTGTCCTCTCTGTCGTCCGCGCAGCTATGTGGAGAAGTACGGGCTGGAGGAGCCCTGCGATGACATCCAGCACGTCCTGAAGCAGATCGCAGTGAAGCTCGGGAAGACGCAGAGGGTAAAGGCCATCACTGGAGTGGGTGAGCTGTCTTGAAATGCGCAGGAGTTAACCACCCTTCTGTGAATCTCGGCGTGTAGTTTCCCTGGGATGCTTATTGGTGCGGGTGTTTTCACAAAAGCTTCAGAAAGATCTGAAAAACTGAACTGCTGCCCCACTGAGATCCTGGGATTAATAGCCAGACTGGCTACATGGCAGAAATTGCCTCCTCTTGTTTAACGTTTATGTTGTTCTGATTCTGATACAGGGCGGCACAGTGTTTAGCATTGCTGCCTAACAATGTGGGGCACTGGGTTGAAATCCAGTCCTGTGGTGCTCGCCGAGTAGAGTTTGCATATTCTCCCTCTGTCTGTGTGGGTTTTTGCCAGGCGCTCCAGTTTCCTCCCACAGTCCAAAGACATGCTGTCAGGTTAGCTAGCTTCTGGGGAAAATGGGCCCTGGGATGAGTGTGTACGTGTCTGTGTCTGTCCTGCGATGGACTGGTGTCCTGTTCAGGGTGTATTGCCTCTGTTGCCTGCTGGGATAGGCACTGGCTCCCCTGCAACCCTGTGTTAGATAAAGCAGTTAGAAAATGGATGAATGGATTTCAATACCCAGCGTGGTCTTCTCTCAGGCAACATCACCATTACCATGCCAAACTACAGCGCTGCTGCTTACCACTTCCTCAGAGCCTTCAGGAAGGGGGATCTGGGCCGGGTGATGCTGGACTGATGCAGTATTCTCTGGTGGCGTCGCCATCACTGAGCGTCTCTCCGGGGGTATCGCCATCACTGGGCATCTCTCCGGGGGTATTGCCATCACTTTGCCCGACTACAGCCCTGCTTCATCACATCCTACAGGAGCTAAACTGAACAAACGCACTGACAACCTGAGCACCCAGACCCGTACATGTTGAACATGGGAAGAAGATGTGTTTTTTACAACCGTTGCTCTCAGCTGTAGCCAAGGCAACCAGCCTCTCCACACTGAGACCTAGCTTGTGTTTTGATCATGGAAAATAATTCATTTTATGTTGCGCTGTGACAGGCATGTAACATAATTTGAAGAGGGTGTTGTTGGACTGCGATCATGGCGGTGATATAATTCTTGGTTATTTTTGTGATCTGCAGATTAAGCCAGTGGTTTATATCTCTTGAAAGGTGATTTGCCAGAAATAATGCTGATTGAGGTTTGTTTAATTGTAATTTAGATTACATGCAATTTGCTAAGAATGTCTTTTACACTACCAGTAGTAACATCAGGGAAAACTTGTTTAAAAGATGGCGTTCCTTAACTTCAAATAATTGTCCAATATAGCATTTCTTCTTTTCAAGAAAGAGAGTACAATAAAAGCCTGTGTTTTACGTCTAATTCTGCGTCTGATGCACAGAAAATCGGCAAAAGCAACTGCTGAAGTAACGGCTTTTGTTTCGTATTCTAATACCAAAGACTAACCTGTTCACACTATTTATTAAAGCAAAATAGAAGTCCCCTCTCAACACTTATGCCCTCTTAAGCCATATTTGAGATGAGAGCCTGACAGACAGTAGAGAGTGGGACATATGTCTATCCAGACCATCCATCACTTCTATACCAGAACAAATTGGTCATGCTTTAAGCATCATATCTCCTCTGCAATTGCTTGTTGAGACAAAGCTTGATTATTCAATCAAGCAATCCGTGTGATAGGTGTATAGCACATTGAATGCAAGCTAGATATCTGACATTATGTATATTGTATGTGTTTCTCTGGACAATAATTGGTCAAGTTTTTTGAATGAAGCTTTTTTAATTATTATCAGTCGGTAGTTTTTTGTTATTCCTTTAGGACTATACAGATTCAAACATTCGTTTTACTAATCCATTTCATGGTGAGACAAACTCTTCACTGTAAACCAGTATTTCAGTAAGACCTCTGTGAGGCAGAAATTTGTGAGTCAATGAAGTATACATCATTATACTAATTTGAGTCTCAATATTGAAGGCTAAGAAGTAGGATTGCTTTTGTAATGAAAACATTTTCGATAGTTTACCAGGTCTTGGCACCCGGAGGGTGGCTTCTGTTAAAGTGTAAATAGTTCACCTTTAAATTTCAGTTTCAAATCTAATAAAAATTACAATCGATCGTATCTGGCCTTTCATTGACAGTGGATCAGAGCATATTAAATAATTCTGACAGATGCACTTCCCGTAGTGTGCAGCTGAATTCAGAACCACAGACGAGATGGTAAAGAGCTGAGAAAGAGCCCATTTTTTCACGGACTGTTTATTTCCTCATTTCGTAGGTCTAAAGTAGGTGTTCAAAAAGACAGAAGTACTAGAAATGTCTTAAGAAATCTTTAAACTACATATTCTGTAACATTACTAAAGTCACATCTGCAAACGATATCAAGAGATTTACATTTAAAATCCTTTTCTGATCTGGTCTAAGCAGTGATAAACGCCATCATTGATAAATGTAATAAAATACTCAAGCACGTGGGAAATATATAAAGTGTTGAATGCATTTCATTTACGCACCTCTTAACCCTGAAGACACATCTTGTAATCTGGAAAAGACAAACACACAATGTTTCATCACCCCACATCAGTGCAGCAGTCTGCTCAGTTCATTTACAGTTCTGAAGTTCTGTGGGTCCAGGACAGCAGTTCCTGTAGGACGGGTTCTGTATTGTGCTTCTGAAAAAACAAGGCCAGGCAATCATTTCCAAAAGATTGGTCATGGTAACTGTCCATTGACAAAAGTCCCCCTGATATTAAACACGTTTTGAAATCCAGGGCTTGTAAGAAATTGGACTAATGGTGTACGTTCATAGAACAAATGAGGTACACTGTGCAGATAAACCTTAAAACAGTGAAACAAAAAATGGAGCAAACAAGAGGGAACTGCATTTAAAATGGTGAACAGGTGTCATTTTTTTACACAAAGGCTTGAGAGAGCGTGAAACAAGCTGCCCAGCCAAGTTGTTTGAGACAACCCTTGTTTAAGAAACAGCTGGATGAGATCCTAGAATCCATTTACAACTAACAAACAAGCCCGCTGACCAAATAGCTTCTCATTTGTAACCATTCTGCTGTGTTCATATTGTCAATTGATACTGGCCAAGTTTTTAGGAGAATTGTGTTGGGATTTCCCCGTCAACAAACTCAGTCAACCCTTTTGTTGGATGATGTAGACTTGATGTTGTGAGAAAATGAAACAGCAGGGGGCGCTCATGACTTCTGGGACTCGGACGAGGGGCACTGTATTCTAGAACTGTGTCTGTCACAACTTCTTTATTTCAGAAGAGTGTAATGTCAGACTTTCTTGCTGATAAAAAAAAAACAAATCCGTAATCCTTAAAAATGTTGAAGTTCTTTGAAAGACAGAGAGAACAGAGTGCTGTAAGGATGAACTGCATCACATTGTGTTATAAACAGATGTTTCCCCTGTATAGCTGTGTGTAGCAAGTTTCAAATGTGTTTTTTTAGATTGCCGCACTGTTATATTTCTATACTGTGTAACACCTCCTCCTCCACACTCTGGCCCTCCAGTCTGCGTGGAACAGGCTGAAGAGTGACTCATCTGTGAAGAGGAACTGACGCCACTGCTGAGTCCACGGCAGCCTCTGTCTGGCCCAAGCCAGTCGGGTGTGACGTCTAGGAGGTGGGACCAGAGGGCCTCTGACAGGTCGCCTTGCTCTAAGGCCGGCAGCATGGAGCCTCCCTGTCCTGTCACTGATGTGGGCATTGTGTCTGCCGGCAGTTTCATCAGCAGTACGGGTGGCAGATCTAAAATGATCTCTCAGATGGACCTGTCTGATGTGTCGGTCCTGCTCTGGTGTGGTCATTCGCGGGCGACCGGATCTTGGACAGTCATCTGTCCAGCCAGTCTGCAGTAACCTTCTCTGGAGTCGGGACACAGTGGAGCGGCTCACTCCATAGGTGTCCTGATCAGGCATTGTTCCATCTGGACCTCGTTGGGTACAAGTGCACCTAACAAGCTTTTGTGTGATCGGCAAGTTGCAATGCCTCACTGCACAAGCTGTATTGCTGGTCAGAGGGCTTAAAACAAATTGACAACTTTTTGTGATAGTACATAAGCTATAACTATAGTATTCTAATTTTAGAAAATGTTGCGTTTCTTTTTTCCATCAGTATACATTTTATGGCTTTTTGAATGAATGTACCATGTTTCCTTGACGTAGTCTTAATTCACTTTCTTGCTATGTATGTGAGTAACAAGCTAGCATGATTCAGGCATAAAATGAAAAAAAAATGAATCCAGCTTGGAAATATTGAAAAACAGAGATTTGGGGAGTTGGTTCTAAAGAGAAAGTGGATATTTTGTGAGTCTAAGAATATATTGTGCAATTCTTTTCAAAAACTACAAAAAGCAAAAAAATGTTTTTTGTGTGCAAATGTTGTTATAATACAAAGCCTTTGGGTAAAGAATATTTAAAATACCCTGGTTAATGATTCTGTGTTGTGACACTAGCTGTGTCAGAGGTGGTGTCATTTTGTGTATCGGTTATTTTACACGAAAGCAGTTCTGAAGAAAGAGAGCACGTTGTGAGTCCAGGGCCCTCTAGCAGAGAGCAGTTCTGGAGTTGACCCAGCGGGCAGACTCTTCTCCATTTAGAGGCGTCCGTTCAGGAGCTGACGTACATGCCGAAGTTCAGCCAGCAGAGGGCAGCAGCGAGCGCTGGGATGTGAGCACAGTGCTGAGTGGAGGCTGGGCTCTGAGCGCTGTAGTAGTCGTCGTCTGTCCTGTTGCCATACTGACTGTCGCTCCGGTACCGGGCGGAACCGTCATCTGAGCGGTACCGCGACGACGCCCACCAGCCCCCCGC